GTTGGCGACGTGGCTTTAAAAGGCTATCTGGGGTGTTTCTATGGCTTTCATCGTTGTTTGTGGTCATAGAATGAAGTGGAGACACTAGTCTGAAGAATAGTACTAACTGTAGTAGGGGGGAGAGATGATGGTGATGTGGGTAAAGTAGAATGATGCTCAGGAATGCTTTGTACTCTTTTGGAAGTGTGTGGGAGGTTGTTACTTCCCGGCTGCCCACACCGTGGAAGTTGATTGATTCTTCGGCTACCTAAAACAGGAGGGTTAGTGTTGCGTAGAGCCCAGGGGACAACTGCTTGATGCCAGTCACACACGGCCAGTATGAACTGGTTTCCTGGTTTGGTTCCGTATTAGTAAACTTACCGCCGGTTACGGGCCACCGTAGGGTAAGTGGGGATGTACAATTGTTGGGGTGAACCTTTTCTAATCCCCTCTCCAGAGCGGAGAGACAACATAAGTGGCTGGCATACTGGTCATCTGAGGGAAACACCTTACTGCTGTTACACCCCTGTTCCCCAGCAGTACGACTTCTCCCACAAACCCCTAGCATAGTGTAAAAGAAAAATTCTTACACTACACCGGTAACTGCTTTTAGTGTAATCGCTATGCTGACAACCTTCCTGGTATGGTAGGACCTGCAGGAACAATAGTTCCATCCAGTTTAGCGTGTTGGGTCATTGCAATGTGGAAGCACGATCACCACTTTAAAGTAGCAGCTATCGGTGAAGACAGCTGAAACTGATAGTCACTAACTATGTAAATCAGTACCACATTCTTGTTTGACCATCATCCTACTAACTCATTACTTATTTTGATAGCATGACATGTTGAGGGGGATGTTAATTAGGTTTTCATAAAATTATTTATTTATTCAAATACATAACGCTCTACACAAAATGATTATAAGTAAGAGGCAGTGAAACAATAGCAAAAGAAGCATGGACAGTCTCATGAAGATTTCTCGTGAGAACATTTGTCACTTCTAATTTATTTTGTTGGAAGGAGGAACAATTAGCTTTAGTTCTAAGCCATATCTGATAACCTCTCAAACGACTGAATCTTTTACTATTTTTAAGTCAATCTAGAGAGTCTTGATGGTTAGGGTTCTGTAGATGCTAAGAGCCAGTGGCTGAAGAGACTGTTGTTAATATGGCCTCCATATTACTATTCTTTCTTCCGTACATTTCTGCTCATCGGAGTTCTTTTGAGTCTTCTTTTTCCTCTACTTTTGTATTCTACATGGAGTGTAGCAACATGAACTGATGCACTTGCCTTTTTGCCTAGGCACCCATTTTTTCAACTAAGTTTGTTTTATTTCTGGGCTTCACTTCAGTCCTGACTATCGGGAGTATTATAAGCGGTAGAATATCCAATTCAGGTGACAGTCCTTAACAGGAACTATAAACTAGGTTGTATTGTTATTATTCATTTCTAAAATTCAGGCACATCTCTTACCATTTATCTTTTCATTTACTGGAATAAAATTGTACCAAGTTTAAATTTTCGATATAATCAAAACGTCTACTCGTTTATTGTGTACTGTTCTTCATTTCAGATTTTGAATATCAAAAGTTTCAACATGTAGTTTGGAATGATTTGTGCTTTTTAGGACATAGATATTCATATTTGACCATGAAGGCAGTACCGAGAGTGTGTCGCACTTATCAAGGGACTCTGCTGAGACTCATGCAGCAGCCGTTGTCGTCTCAAGGGATGACAATAAGTAGTGTCTGTCAGGGTTACCCCCACTGTTCTTATTTTTATTTAATTTCATAGTAGATGTACTGGTGTGGTTGACCCTGACTGACGTCAGCGACTTACGGATTGAATTGTTACGAGGGAATAGTCCAGTCATTCTAGGCGAAGACGCCGACAAAATTCAGAGTCTTGTAAGCATCTTGAGCAGAAATCTTCCAATGTTTGACATGTGTTCCGCTCCTGTCAAATGCAAGATAATGTTTGCAGGGCTGGACTGTACTGAATCCAAGGTTAAAGATGGGGAGTGAAGTGGTTGGGCGTGTTGACCACTTAACTTCTTTAGGAAACTGCCTTAGTCCCGAAGGGCTGGATAGATATTTACGTTCTATCTTCCGTGTTAAGTGGTATAATGTGGTGAATAGTAATCAGATTAGGCGTAGAGTGTTAGGTAAGGAAGGGAAGTCAGTCTGCGAGATTGTGTAGCTCCATTGATTGAGATGGCTAGGAAGCACAGTGTGTATGCTGAGCCACTCACTGTCTTCCTCTTCCAGAAGTGTTAACTGATATAGGATTAGGTTAGAAAAGAGTTAATAGTGATGAAACTAAAACCTGGAATCAATCTATGTAGTTGTTTATAGTTGGTTTGAGGCAGTCACGTAGCAAGGTGTAGACTGTTGTCTGGTTGGGGTCGTTAGGATTCTAAGAACCAATGTCTGGAGACTGTTTTTTTTATTTGCAGCTTGATTCCACACTGTATTTTTGGTACAAGTATGGAATTTTCAGCATGGATATCGGTAGCCCAAATTTTGCAGGCCGACCATAGATATCAGGTGTGCGCCGGCGTCGGCTCGACTGTTGATGATATGGGTCAAATCCGTTCTCAGTAGTATAGATCCATTCGCTCACTGTGATCTCCATTATCCATTAGGCTGTCACGTTTTTTCATGTCACTGTTCTTTCTCCCTTATTTCTACTTGAGTCTAATTTTATCTGTATTTTGTTTACGTCTATGTTCTCCTTGGACTGAGGTAACTTGAACGTTTGTTAAACTTAGGTGTTATGTTCTGTGTTGAAAGCCCAATTATATATGAGGTTTAACTGATTAGTGTGGTTAGAATATTTAGTTTCATGGAGTTTCTTTAATCCTGTGTTTATATATTTAGGCTTGTTTCAGCTTCTTCCTTCGCTGTGCGTATAAGCTTTTAAAGAGAAAATAAGTTTTTTCATGCACTCAGATGCTTTCTGTTTTAATTTTTGAGACACTGTCAGTGAAAGGAATAATCAGGTCGACTTGCGGTGGCATGCATTCAACTATTGTGATACTGATACACCCGCCCTATCGACGAAACGGCGGGTGTACTGCTCATCAGTCCGCTCCGTCCTCCTTTATGGCTGTGAGCGAGACCTGGCCATTGAGAGTGGAAGACATGAAAAGATTAGCTGTCTTTGATCATAGGTGTCTGCGCTCTATCTCCGGTGTGAAGTGGTATAATAAGGTGAGGTTATGCATCGAGTACTAGGTAAGGAGGGAAAATCGATCGACGAGACTGTGAAGTTACACTGACTGAGATGGTTAGGACATGTGTTACGTATATCTAGTCATCGCCTTCCTCAACAGATTGGCAATGTTATCTGACATAGGGTCAGGCTGGAAAAGAGCTAGCGGCGGTCAAACCAAAACATGGCCTTACCAGTCAATGAAATCCACAACAATTAGTTTAAGCCAGCCAGCCACGTAGGCAGGTGTAGACTTCCTGACTGGTTGGGGTCCTCGGACGGTAAAAACCGATGGTTGGAAACAATTGGTGATATGGCTCAAAATAGTTCTCAATGGCTAGCGCAGATGAATCCACTCCTTGTGACTTATAATTTCCAACGAAACTACATTGTTCTCCGTTATTACTACTCCTTTCTCTCACACCTCTGTTTATTGTCTCTATTATGGATTTCTTCTACTTTCTTCTGTTGCTTTGTGTGCTACAAGAAGGGAGCGTGGCGACTTGAACTGGTGCACATATGTGCAAAGTTCTATGTCGAAAACAGACAGACAAATAGATGTTTAAAAGTTAATTGAATCATATATATATAATAGAACATTTTAGTTGGCAGTAAGAATAATTAATTAATAAATTCTACAAATAATTTGGTTATGCATCGGTTTTTGTTTTGCTTCATTTCTTATATTTACATCAATTTTCAAGTGTTGGTAATTTGTAGAGAATTAATTGACACTAGTGAGAAAACTACTAAAAGCCAGAAAGTACTGGACAACTGTTTCATACTAGTTGAAGACTGTCTAGAAGCAGTACCCCTGTCTTCTAGGGCCTCAGGGTTATGAGATGTGCCCGTTGAATATATACTCAGCCACTGGAACAGAATTGTTTTTATTATTCCTTCACGTTCCCAGTGGAGCATAGGGCTTCAAGCTAATGGCTTGAAGTTTCTGTAGCAGTGTTTATTTTTACAGGATGGAGTTGCTAGCCTCATGCTCAACCTTTCCTCTTTACCAGCTTCTATTGCTGGCATAACGAGGTAAAGAAGTGTGTCGACCGAGGATCGAACCCATGTTCGTGGTCGGCGAGCGTCCTAACCTCTGTGCCACTGATGCACGGAACGGAATTTAATGCGTCATTAATTCTATCTAACTTCCACCATCGGCAGGTGTTTGTCCCCAATGATCACTATTTCTCACTCGAACTTTAGAAGCTCCACTAGTGCCTAGTTCAATCACTAATGATCGACTGTAAGTTCACTAATTACTGTCGGATTCTCTCTCAGTGTCTGAATGGTCAGTTAGCTCACCTCGTAACCTAAATGCCTTGCGATCCATCTCTCATAAGAGTCATGGGTGCTCTGTGCCTCTGAGGTCTCCCAAACTAAGACGAAATAGCTGCTCAACACTCACTGGGTTTGCGTGATTCTCCGACAGATATCGAAGCTCGCCTTGTAACCGGAAGGTCCCTGGTTCGAACACCGCTGAAGTGTCCCAAACTAAGTCGAAACAACTGTCCAGTACCTCCAGGTCTTACAATGGTTTTTTAACTGATTTCAACTCATGATAGAGTCCTGTAACCGATCATATCTCTGTAAACCAATACTTGAAGATGTTGTCAGTTTGTTATTTAACTTGCCATTTTCCCTTAACTATCTTTTGTTGTTGTTGAAAGTAACCCAAATGTTTTGAAATATTATTATTACTAGTGTTGTTTATGTTGCATTTTATTTCCGCTTTAGATAAATTTTAATCCAGATTTGGATGTTGTACTATTACTCACTTAATAAATCATCGTCATTATTATTATCATATGACTACAAAAATTGCAACTGTAGCCAATTTGGCATTTCATGCATTTCAACAGCATTCAGTACGTGTTGCTATTGGTGCAGCTTCGTCTACACCCCTTAACAATGGAATAAATGATTCTTATCCTTCTTGTGTAAATGGTAATTCTACAGCTCATCACCATCATCATCATCAACATCAACAGAATCATACTTTGGATAAATCCAGTCCCCCGACAACAACAACAACACCAACAACAGGAGTGAAGCAGAAAAAATTACCAGAATCGCTGGATCGTTTATTATCCTGTGTACGTTCTCTTACTCCAAGTGATGTTGGCTTCAATGTTCGATGGATTTCAGATTCAAATATCTCGACTGCACCAGTCGCCTATGTACACATTATGGAGAATGAAGTCTTCTCTATGGGAATATTTATTCTACGACCTGGTTCACGTATCCCCTTGCATGATCATCCCGGGATGTTTGGTATATTAAAAGTTTTAATTGGATCCGTTCGATGTCGAAGTTTTACACGATTAAAAAATGTTAAATCAAATGATTTAAAAGATTATATACCATCTTTATCAGTATTTAATGATTCAAAATGGCAGTTGACTGATTTAATTATTGCTAAACCACATCAAGATACTGTTCTCTCACCGGATCATTCACCTTGTCTTCTGTCGCCTGTAGAAGGTAATCTGCACGAAATAACACCAGTTGATGGGCCTGCAGTCTTTATTGATATTTTAGCCCCACCGTATGATCATGATTTGGGGACTAGAGAATGTCGATTCTATAAAGAGGTGATTATCCCCCCAATGAATTCTAATCCAATACTATCATTACATAATAGTAATAGTAATAGTAATAATGGTCTGCATAATAATGACCAAACTAATAGTAATATTAATAATAGTAATAGTAACAATAATAATAATCATATTAATGAAGAGTCAACTTCATCCACTGATGGTAATGATCTCGATCAAGAAATCAGTTCATCGTTGAACCAGTCTGAGAAAGAGTTGAACAATTCATCGATTGTTTATCTAGTTGAAACGAATCAACCATTAGATTATTGGTGTGAATCTGCTGAGTATAATGGGCCAAGTGTTGTTTAGTCTTGCTATTGGCCGCTGCTGCTGGTGGTGTCTCTTTCTCCTTGACCGGAGTACTCAGCTCATCAACATCATCGTCGTCATTATTATTAGTATTATTACTTTTGCTTAGCCTTGTAATACTCTTGTCTTTTATGTCTTTTTTTAATTGAAAAGATGGTTTTATTCTTCATCTTTCTATGGCATTTCTATCTATCTATCACCGTCCAGTGACGTAAATCATTTCAGTTGCTGTTCTCCAATACACACAAACCCACACACATACACACACACCATACTCCCTTTCCTTTCGTTTTTTTAACATTTCCTTGACCTCCACATATTATTACAATATATAAATTTGTATACAACATGTATATGTAGAGGGTATTTTTATTGATTATAATGATAATAATAATAACAATGGTAATAATGCAACTGATAATCCGCTTGCTCATTCACAAGGATTTTAATCGCAACCGGAAAACAACCAACCAACCAATCGATGTTTGCAAATTTACCACCTACACACCTACGCACACACACTCACACACATACATACATACATACACAGATACTGTGGTATATACACTAACTAGTCTCTTGTTCAACTTCCCTAGTTGTTCATTTTCTTTTCTTTTGTCCTCCACTGCCTCCAGCGCTATGGCTACCGTGTCGTCGTCCTCTTTCCCTTTTACTACTACTGCTGCTTTAGTCTTGAAAGAGGCGAGAAATAAGTATATTTGTATATTTGCCTTTGTTTTAATTTACTCTTATATATATATACTACTGCTTATTTTAATAAAATCAGTAGTATGCACACTGTCATGTTTTTTTTGTGTGTGGTTTTTAAAATATGCCCCCTTCAATAACTTCCTCATCCCCATCGTCTTTGTCGTCGTCATCGTTATCCCAACGTCCCATGACATACGCACAAACGTACACATACACATACAAACACACAAACCAGTCATCCAATGGATCAGTCAGTTAACCAGCCAGCTAGTTACAGGTTTTTACACGCTTAGTTTTTATTTTCATCATTTAATTATCATCATCGTTTCACCTTGATATTTCTTCATATATTTTGGTTTTTTAATTTTCGTGCTTTTTATGATCAAACATCATCAGCAACGGCAACAACAACAACATCTATGGTTACTCTGACTTATTGATGGATAGTCAATAGAGGATGGGGTGTAGCTGTAGGTTGGTTGGCTTGTTGGTTGTTTGGATGGGATGAATATTCCTTTTTAACGTCCTCCTGTTCCTCCTCTTCTTGCTCTTCCTGCTCCTATTACTGCTACTATCATTGCATTCAAGTGTACATTTAGAGTGGGTGTGTGTGTGATGGCAATCTGTAGTATACACGCTTACTTACATACACATACACACACCCAAGTACCCGTCATATATTACTCATTTTTGTAATAATAGTAATAATAATTTTTCTCGACAGTTTTTAAAAAAAAACAAGTAACAATTAAAGCTCTGTGTATTATAATAAGAAATGACTTCCATATACGTGCGTGTTGCAATAACTTTTTATGTACTTTGACACAAACACCAACACGCCTATACACACACACATGCACACAAGCATCCAAATTCTTTGTTGATCTACTTTTATGTGTATTCTGTTTTTTCATCTGGTGAAACGAATTAATTGTTGAATATACATAAATCTTATGATGAAAATAGTATTCTCTTTTGTGTATGCCTGTGTCTGTGTGTGGGCGTGTTTATATGTTTAGCTAACATGATTGAGTAGTTTTGAGCATTGATAGATAATGTTTCATAACTTGATAAGGTGTGTAACATGATGTGTGCTTATGAAACACACACATTTATTGTTCTAAGGGGGTTGTGGTTCTGGTGATGGCTGATGTTGAAACATTTAAGTGTTGGTTTGTAGGGATTTGGTTGATTGGTTACAGGGGTTTCATCATGAGCTGACATTGGTTGGAGAGTCATTGGAGAACCTGACGGGGAGTACTGGACAGCTGTTTCCCTCGTCCTAGTTTAGGACACTTCAGGATTGGATCGGCTCCCAGTGACTTAATGCTATACGAGCTCACCTTGTAACCAGAAGGTCCTGGGTTCGAACCCCAGTGGTGGTTGCATACTGATGAAGAGTCCCGAACTAGGTTGACGAAACAGCTGTCTGGCAGTAATCCCAGTTGGTTTTCCAATGGTTCTCTAATCAATGTCAGCTCATAATGTTTGAAACAGTTGGAGCTAAGATTTGAATCTGGGATATTTTTTTACTGGAAGTTGAGTGTTAACCGGCACAGCAAATCAGCATCTCAACACATTTTTGTTAACAAGACAAGATGTGAATATTATAGAGCGTTTGGATAATATTTATGTCTCTTTAAATTCCACATACGTGTTGAAACGATTTAACGTGTATAGTGCTTGATTATTGTTGAGCTGCTTCTATAAATGTTGAAGGTTGAAGATAGACTTCTGTGGTCATTCTCTTCAAATGCTCTCATGTAGCGACATCGTCATAACCAGGTCTTCAGTCACGCGATGGCAATGTTCCTCATGAAGGCGAAAGAGCGAACGCGAATGTTTGGCTCGTCCGAACGGATTGTTGAATATCCTTGTCTATTCAAGGGAGCTGAATAACTCTTAATATTTCAAACTTGTGATGTATATGAGTCTGAACGGTAGATGTCCAGGTCTACCTACGGGAGGTGGAAGACTGTCATTCCAAACTTGTGAGACACATTGATTGAATAATCAGGGCATACTGAATGACGGATCAACCTGTTTCAGTCACCAGAAACCACAAAAACAGCTGAAGGCTCTGTTCTATCACCTTGTGGATCAGACTGTAAGTCAAATGCTCTTAGGTGCAGATAATCCCTTGAGGCAACCACCTACTTTGGTCTCAGGGTGTCTTTAAAGTATCTCAGACCTCGTACAAAACTCAGATTTTGTCTGACTCATTATTTGTTGCCAATAGTATATCTAGTTTGTATTTTAATATTAATATCCGAGACTAACGTGAGGTATAAACGCATGATATCCATGGATGTATCATCACTATTCACTAATGTACCGCCTATGGAGACAGTAGGTTACAGTTGTCAAGAAATCACCGATAGGCAATTAGACTTAGGAATCCCATTGTGTAACCTCAAAGAATTACTTCTTAAATGCATAATGGATGTTCACTTTGTCTTCAATAATTCATACTATCTACAAGTAGATGGAATAGCTATGGTTTCACCATTAGGCCCAATGTTAGCTGACTTCTTTCTCGCAAAACTTGAAAACGGGAAATTGAAAGACACCATCAAGGAGTTTGATATGTATTACCGATATGTCGATGATACATTTATCTTAGCTGATGAGGATGTTAACATAGACGAATTGTTGCTGAAATTCAACAACATCCACTCTTCGCTTACCTTTACTTGTGAAGAGGAGCAGGAGAATAAACTACATTTTCTGGATGTCTTGCTAAGTAGGAGAGAAGATGGGTCACTTGGGAGAAGCGTGTATACAAAAAGCACATTCACAGGGCAATACACATACTTCCTTAGTTACGTGCCCATTAAATATAGAAGAAATGTTGTTAAAGGTCTTACGAGCAGAGCAAGAAAGATATCTACGGATGACCTCTTACAAAAGGAATTTGAATATATTCACGATTCCTTGACGGAGATGGGCTATCTGAGTAGTTTCATAAAGAGACATATGAAAACATCAGAGAAAAAACCTGGGACTCTGACCGCGCATAAGATACCTCTATTTATTAAGTTACAATTTAATGGTTACTTATTAAGTGAGATTCTATTTGAAAGACTTTCAAGGAGTATACGTAGAACATTTTACGCAGCACGCCTATGCTTGTCATTCTCTAGCCGACGAATGATTGGGACGCAAACGAAGGATAAGCTTGATAGTTTTGCCACATGTGTGCATTTGTCAATTCAACTGCACCTGCGGTGACAGTTATGTTGGGCGTACTACTAGACAGCTTAGTCAACATGTTAATGAACATCTCCCATCTTGGTTTGGCTAATCACAGACGAAAACAATCCTTAGCTCAATTTTGTCACATTTAATTGATAGTGGTCATGTAGTGGAGAAAACGAGAGCTTTCAAAGTAATTCATCGTATCCCACTGAATATTTCCAATAGACTTCGTATTCGTCTACTGCACACAGCTGAGGCAGGCGATAGGCATTCGAACTATTAAACCTAAACTATGCATTCCAAAGAAGTTCGTACAGCCATTATCCCTTCATTTGCCTATTAAGACATAACCAACTAATGGCTTCTACACCACCCCTTATTTATATTTTCAACCCCTTTCTTATCATCCCTTAATCTTATCACATCTTCATTAAAAATGTGTCTCATTTACTTCCCTTACAATCAGTCTAGTATTATTCAATCGGTTCATTTGTTTTTACTAGCCTTTATCGACTACTTCCACCTGAACATTTGTTTCTTTAATCATGTTGTTTTTTTCCATTATTCGTGTTATCACAGATTGCCTCACTTTTTCATCCTTATTATTGATAAGACCATTATTATTATTGCTATTATTATGACTAATTGCACAATTTATATTCACCGGTTTATTATCCTATAGACAAAACACCATGATATTCGAATTTCATTTGTAGACTTATATATATTAGAGTTAAAACAATTAGTCCCTTTTATAAATTTTGATAGTGTTATTAGAAGACGGAGATTATCTGAAAAATGTGATGTATTAGCGCTATACATTTCGAACAATCTGATCACACATTTACTTGTCAAGTCAATATATATAGAAAGGTTAAATTAAACAAAGTGAGAGAAAACGGAATTAAGAATAATTAACACAAACGTTTGGTAATCCAATCAAATAAGGATTACCAAGGTAGGTTAAGAGTAATGACAAACTGTTTTTGAATACACAAGGGGGGCTTAAGTCTATGAATAGCTATAGCCTCAGCGTATTTCAGTAAACGCCCTTGACCGTTTTTATAGATGACCTTAAAGGCTGAGTTAAC